TTTCCAGCCAAAATTCTGAGGAACAGAATCTTGTCATTGATGGAGACAAATGAAGTTCCGCTTCTCGTCATACTAACTTTAATATAATATAACTACTTAGGCTCTGGCCATGTTTGGTAAATTTAATTAGTGTTGAAAAGTGGCTTGTTTTACAAGATGATCATTTTTTAACCTAGGTAAATGACTTTCTTTATGACTAATAAATTAAACGAATTATATCTTTTTCATGCAGTGCTGTGGGGCTCATAAATACTGCAAGCAGTTAGCTGGTAGTTTCACTTGATTACCTTTTCCATTATTGTGTTTTATAATCCTTGTAGGAGTGGGAAATTCATTCAGCTTTCATAATATGAAAGAAAAATATTGAGGGGGGGTTCATGTTTAATTAGTGAACTACATCCCTGTTTTCATTCTTGTCTCAAAAGCAGGGAAGTTCAGTGTTTTAACCAATGGTGTAGTCCTGAAGGGACAACTACTGGAATAACTCTGCCAGCATGACCTTGCACACGTCATGCTGTGCAGAGGACACCATTTCGCTTTACCAAATGTCATCCTACATGTAGTGTGACCTTGCATGCGAGGTCATGCTGTATGAAGAATGCCATTTTGAGAACAAAATGGTGTCCTCCATGTGGCAAAAGAGCCAGTATGCCATTCCAGCATTATCTGGCCCTACTACAGCACAGATCTTTGCTGACAAGCCATGGAAATTCTATGTTTACTTACAATTGAATGCTCTTTGGGTAATTATGAGGTGTGTTCTACATAGCCATCACAAGAGGTATCAAGAGAAGTGGTAGGCAAACATCTGTGAGGAATGGTCTAGAACTAGATAATACTTAGTCCTGCCAAGAGTGTAGGTGACTGGACTAGATGACCTCTCGAGGTCCCTTCCAATCCTATGATTCTGTGATTCTGAGACTTCAGAAAGATTTTACACTGGATGACCAAGGTCAGAAGTTTAATGGGGCACTTTTACACGCCTTAGCTGCTAATTAATTAAGAATGTCTTTTAAAATCCTCCATGTGGCTTCTGGACTGCTCAGTGTATCTTAAGCCTTTATCTTTAAAATCCATGTGCTAAAGGGTCTGAATTGGGATGCATCACACAGTCTGGGGCACCACAGTAGCTTCCCAATGTGGACCCTTCAGTTAGATAATCTTTCAGTTAAGTTAACCGCTAGGAATGGCAAACACACAAATATTAGCATGATGTTAAATTTGCTTTAGTCTTTAGCTGGTATAAATCAATGCAGATCATTGATGTCAATAGCACTATGCTGACTTATACAGTTGAAGTTCTGGTGCATTATTTCCTAAGTGGGGAAATGTCCCAATGGCATCATTGTCATTAACTAAATACTTAATTTGCAGCCATTTACAAAGGTAACCAAAGTAAAATCATGACAGTATCAAATGCTGCTACACTGAAGGTTGCTTCAGGATTTCCAATTTGCAGCACTTTTTGCAAGGATTTAACTAAATTGTATGTAAAAGTTTTCCCTGTGACCAAACTTTGGCACTCCATTGTAAGGTCTTTGGGGCATGGACCTTGTCTTCCCTTATGTTTCTACACTGCCTACCATAGTCACTCCCTGCTCCCGATTGGGGTCTCTGTATTCTACTATAATGCAAATAAATATTCATGTCCCAATTTTAAATAAATACAGGAGAGAAAATATCACAGCTGAAACAAGGACAAGTTTTGTGCCACCAGGACCATTGTTCCAGTGCCACAATTGATGACTTCTGTGAGGATTCCTCTTGTATGACTGAGATCCTCCTACTCATAAAAACATAAGAATGACCTTATTGGGTCAGACCAATGATCCAGTATCTTGTCTTCTGACAGTGGCCAATGTCAGATACTTCAGAGAAAATGAACAAAACAGGCAGTCATCGAGTGATCCATACCCTGTCATCCACTCCCAGCTTCTGGCAAACAGAGGCTAGGCAGAATCAGAGCATGGGATTGTATCCCTGACCATCTTGGCTAATAGCCATTGATAGCCCTATCCTCCATGAAATAATCTAATTGTTGTTTGAACCCTGTTATAGTTTTGGCCTTCACAACATTCCCCGCAATGAGTTCCAAAGGTTGACAGTGTGCTTTTCCTTCCAGAAGGGCAGCATGCAGCTCCCGGCTAGTGTTAGCAACATACTGCAGAATATATACCAGAGAGCAAAGTAACTAGCTCTGCTTTAAGGCAACAAAGAGTCCTGTGGCACCTTATAGACTAACAGATGTATTGGAGCATAAGCTGTTACATCTGTTAGTCTATAAGATGCCACAGGACTCTTTGTTGCTTTTTACAGATCCAGACTAACACGGCTACCCCTCTGATACTTAGCTCTGCTTTGTGTACTAGTTAGAAATCCGGCCTAGCTGAAGGATAGGTGTGTGTGTGTGTGTGTGTTTAGGGGTGGATAGTTTAAGATTACTAAAATCCCCTCCACAACTCAGCACATCCACACAATCCAGGACAGGTTACAGTCTTAAGCGAGCAACCAGGGTTTGCAGGAACTCAACCTTTTCCATCCTACAAAAGAATGTCCATGACTCTGTGTGGGTGGTCACACTGTAGGATATCTGGGGTCTAAGAAGAAAGCATAGAAACTGATCTAATTTAGTTCTGATTTTTGCAGAAGGAGTGGGAGGTCAATTATCTTACCAGAATAAAAAACAAACAAACAAAACACAAAAAATGTAATCTAAAATAAATATTTTATCTTAAACAGCACCAGCAAATGTTGACATGCATTTCCTAGTGTGCCACATTCTGTTGAACAAGTCAAACTTGCATTATTATAGTTGCTTAACAGGGTTTCTTCACTCAAACATCCAGACCTTTGTTCTGACAAATGTACAATAGATACTGTAATTATAGATGACCTTGACAGTAGGTCATGTAGAGGTCACAATATGTGTATTGCTGTGGATAGTTTGAAGAGATATGCTGAACAATTAGTGAAGTGAATAGAGGATATTCAGATATCCCTCTGAGGGACTGTACTTTTTAAACTGCTCAGAGACACTTTTGACCTTCTAGTTTATTACGGGTCAAGAAAAAGTCAATATTTCTTAGCCTGCCAAGGTGCAGGAATTTTAATGAGTTATTGAGTCAAATAGTTAATCCTCCAATAACAGATTCTTTTCCTTTCGAATTTACAGTGATAAAAACAAAAACTTAACAAGAAGCAAAAATGGGTTTTGTTACATGTGGAAACTTTGACTTGCATTTTGTACAACTATTTTTAACCCCTTGGTGTTTGCAGTGGATCCGGAGGTCTTGCTTTTAACACTGTTGCATTTTCTATCATGTAGCATTGGGAAATCATAAATGGGCAACAAGGGAGATTAATTAAAGCTTGCAGTAAAATGTTGGTGACCAAATTACCTTCATGTTTTAATTATTCTTTCTGCAACATCCCTTTGTAATTCTCAACTTTATGCTTATTACAATTAATGCAGCACAGTGATCTTCTAATTTTCCAAAACTCATAATTGAGTGTAATGCTAGTTATTATTCTTTGTACAGTGGCTTATTTCAAAATACCCTGTCCTCTATAAATTATAGTAATAATAGGTCTGTTGTAAGCTGTTCAGTGCAGAAATTTTAGGTGCAGTCTAGAATTAAATCTCCTAGAATTATAATATCAAACAATAGAAAATGCAAGTAATGTTCAGTTCATCATATTGTGCTAATACCTAAAAGAAACTAGACATTATTTATTATTATATTTACATAGGGCCGGATGCTGATGGCCTCACTCATATTGGGAAGCGCTTAACTCCATTAGTAATTCCATTGACTCTAATGAGACTCCTTGCAGGGGAGAAATTTCAAAAGCTCTCCGCATTGGCCTAACTTTGCTCCCATTGAATCAATGGGAATTTTATCATTGACTTCACTGGGAGCAGAGTTAGGTCAACCTTGAGCACTTTTGAAAATGTCACCCATGTAGGAAGCTGCTAGCCAACCTAGGTAAGGATATCAGTGTGTCTGGCCCTTAGTACATGGGGTGCTAAATGGAGGTTTGTATGGTTAGAGTCTGAGTGATTTGTTTATTATGATATTTATTATGATATAAAAATGAAATAAAAGCAATGGATTAACCAATACTTAATAAATATCTGTTGTTTTGTTTCTGTAGAGTGAGTTATTTATTGATATCTATTTAATACATTTATAAGAGGTCCAGCAATAGGTATCTATCCTGCATATAACTAAGTAATGCAAAATGCAAGAATGAAGTTAAAGAACTAACGAACCCCAATATATGGTACAGCCAATGTGAACGAAAGCATCAGCCACAAAGATAAGCTTGTACATTAACATGATTAATTCCACCCTATACAAAAATGATTAATCTTTGACCCCTGCTACGGGTCAGTCCGACACATTTTTTTCTTTCTTTGTTCAATTGTCACCAGCTCTCAGAGTCTTAATTGTGTCATTGCTAGCCGCTGTGGGTTCTGCCAGTGTCAGATGAGAGACACCTGAGTAGACCTCTTTGAATTCAAGAACCGTTAGTTTTACCAGAAAAAGAGATCCGCATCTAGTTTGGTCATTGATGCTTATACAGGTCAATAGACATTGCTTTTTTCAGTGTTTAAATTGGGGAGGAAGGATATAATCCCAACAAAGTCTTAAAATACCACATCAGAACTGCAGCATGAACATAGTGTAGGTATTTAGTCACTGAAGACCATGGTTCAGCAAAGCACATGCTTATGTTTAAGCACATTCTTATGCCCATCACTATTCAGCAAACCACTTAAGCATGCACTTTAATGCATTGCTGAATGTGGGCTGTAGAACTGCTAGCCTATGTATGAAGATACTCTCCATATCGCAGTTGCAATATTGTCCATAGGATGCCCATGTATCCTTGGAATCCTTATATCCACTAAGCTTGCAATGTATATGCTAAAACAAAAGACCAATTAAATCCCATTAAGCAAATATAGTTAATATTTAAACTTTCTACTTTTTCAGTGCTTTATGGGCAAGATGGCCTACATGCATCATGTGAAAAAAAGTACTGTGGCCGGGGAAGTAAGTGTGTTGTTAACAAGGAGACTAATCAGCCTGAATGCAAATGCCTAGAAGACTGCAAACCTAGTTATATGCCAGTATGTGGATCTGATGGCAAATTTTATGAAAATCACTGTGAACTCCACCGAGCCTCATGCTTGCAGAGGAAGAAAATCTACATTATCCACAGCAAAGACTGTTTCTTCAAAGGTAGGATATCATTATATATATAATAAAGCTATAGAGTTTCCATTGTCCATCTTACCTCAATCATGATAAATGACTGTGTGCTACATATTATTTCTAAGAGATACATTTTTGAAGGATGATTTATTCCAGCACAACACTTTATGAAGCTGTTAAATCCATGAGCATTGGAATGAAATACCAGAATGAAATCAGACTGGTAACTGGTAAATAATTAACATCATTGTATACGTTGTATGCATTGTAGTCAGTAGGAACTTAATAATTTCCAATGTAATAACATTTTACTATGGCATTTGTTTTGTAAGGCTTTGAACAAGACAAACACCTTAAAAATAGTACACTTTGTTACATAAGGGTTGTTGTGGCAATCGTAAGTGCTCTGTGAGAGGAACAGAAAGTCATAATTTTCTCATATAACTGAATGGGGAAACTTACAGTGTATTGGTCCCATGTTATTGGGGCTTTGGCAATGGATTGCACAGTAGGTGAGAATTAGAGGATTTGTGGATGTGCGAGGGATGGTTCGGCAACAATCAAGAAAGGATTGTATTGATGATATTTGGCTATACATCCAGTTAATTATTTTCTATGCCATTTGGATCACTGGTGTTGTGCCAGCAATGAGAGGAAGAAATACTGGGATGAGATGAGAGGGATGGGGGGATATAGTGAGTGTATATATGAGAAATAATAGGCTAAAACTGTCATGACCAAGACTTGACAAGATGGGAGGAATAATTAGCAGGTCAATTTAACTCAAATACACTTGCCCAATAAAAAAATGAAGTATGTCCTAAGGCTAAGGCATCCTGGAGTGAGATGCTCCCACAGACAAAGTCACCCTAGAAATTATAATGCACACACCACTATTCACAAATGTTGCCTGTTCTGACAGTGGCAGAAGCAGTGATGCCAGTCTTGGAACAGCTACATGGCTGAATAAATGTATGTCCCCTGCAGAAAAATCTGACATAGCCAAAATGCAGGTCGTGAACAATTCACTTAAGCAATTAAAATCTGGATTCTACCAGAATTAGTGGTAAGAGTTAAAGTTAACATAAATGGAACTGTCCTCCAGAGGACTCCCCCCACCCCCACTTAGGATTGTCCATCATCATCTCTGTGATTTCTATTTTTTCTTTCTTCCCAGTTCAATTAGAAGTGACCTTGGTATTGAGCATTGCAGCAGGGAATACACGCGGTGCTCGTGAAAAAAAGTGTTTTTCTTTTCTTTACACTCAGCCAGATTCATTGGCATTCCTTTAGATATCATTGAAGTTTTTGGAAACTGGTTAATTCACAGAGATCAGAGAACCTACCTCTAGATAATTACTGTGAAGAAACAGTTTCTGCAGGATAATTGCTGCAAATGTCTTTCAAATGGTCTATTACATCAAGCTGCGGGTATTCGGGACTTCTAAAAATCAGGACCAGTGTGTCTCAAGTTGGGCATCCAGAAGTTGAGGCACTTGGAACAAGTGGCCACTTCTGAAAATTTTGATTCATGTCTAATACAAGTTAACCTCTGAATTCATTTGGACCAGTTCAAAAGCAAATTATGTGGACTAAGGACCTCATTCTATCTCACGCGAGTTTTATACCAGCATGACTCCATTGACTTGAAAGGTGTTACTTTCGATTTACAACAGGGACAGTTCATAATGAGTACCTATAGTACCTCACAATTTCAGCTCTACCTGGAATGTATAACTCTCATTAAGAATTATGGGATAGCATAAAAATTGGGGGAAATTGAATTGAGAGAAATCAGGAATTCTAATAAGATTTTGTAGGCAGACTCCAGTCCTAATGGTTTTGTACCTGCTTACAACAGCTCTGACTTTGGGTCTGTGTATCCAATCAGCTTTGCATTGCTCTAAAATAATTTTAATGGTGTAGTCTCTTCTGTGTTTATTTAAATTTGCTGTACACTCTCTCTTTTGGAAACTGTACTTCTCCACTCATTAACCTGTGAAATTTTCAAGACAGAAACATTGTGAGAACCAGAATGTAGGAAACAGAATTGCCTTTTCAGACAGAAAGCTACCTACCAAGTAGGAAACTGTTGTCAGAGCACAACTATAAATGTCTCTTTTAGAATTTGCCTTCCATATCAGGGATTATATCTAGCCTCCCCAATATCATCATGAGTCATCCAAACAGCATTCCTTGTACAAGGAGAAAGAAAATTAAGTGGACCAAATTCTCTGCTTGTGCAAATTGGCACAACTCCATTTATGTCAATGGATCTATAACAGTTTACACCAGCAAAGACTTAGAGTTGGTGTCAGCAACTAATCTGAGAAAAGAGGGAGCGGTTTAGAGGTATAACTCACACTGCTGCTTACATATATCTGATTCATGAAGGTCAGATGGCATTAGAAAACCCTTTCTACAACTAGTCTTTGCCAAGTTCTCTCTTCTTTTGTTAATTCCTCTGTTACTTTCTATCTGATATGCCTGAATTTTAGGGAGATTATTATATTGGTCATTGCAGCATGATTATCATAAGGATTAGAATGGGTTTAAAGTAAAGATTTAGCTGCTCTGTAATAACTCATACTGTAGATACAGATAACTGAACAATATGGGTATTTCTGTTTCATACATTAGACCCCCATCCTGCAATCAGTTCTGCATTGTTGGACCCATTTTGTCCATGTGGAGCCCCATTGAAGTGAATGAGACTTCACACAGGCACAAAGGATACCCCCACACAGATTCATTTGTAGGATCAAGGGTTTGGATGATAAGCTGTCTGTCAGCTTTCTTTTGCTCCCTGTTTCTACAACAGCTCTCACAATAAGGTCTGACCCTGATCAGCCTTTAAACACGACCATCATTAAATTATAAAGATGTTAAATGAGAGTCTAGTTGCAAACAGGAAATATAAATAATCAACTATGTTGTTCATAACTATAGCCAATTCCTTCCAAACACATGTCCGTTATTATCAATGGGCCAGATCTTGAAGGGAGCTGTGCTCCATGATTTTTAAAGCATATTTTCTTAGGTAATGTACCACAAGGTCACAAATCAAGAGAGCTTGCAGTAGCAGAAGCCATGTGATATAACGCAATGTACTGGGAGCAGTCATAGATTATTTCCAATCCAATGTGACATGCCGTACAGA